CTCTGTTCTCTAACAGTTCTCTCTGCATATATATGTATGCAGGCGAATACTCACATAAAACAAAAATAAATAACAATAATAACAACACATGAAGAATGATTGTGGAAGACACCTAGTGTTGACTCTAGTCTCTAACTATGTTGACTCTTGTCTCTACCTATGCACTCATGACACCCCCATACCCACACATATACAAACTAAAACTTCAAACCACAGACTTGGCATGGTGGCACACACCTTTACTCTCGGCACTCAAAAGGCAGACACAGGTGGATATCTATGTGTTCTAGGCTAGCCTGGGCTACAAAGTGAGACCCAGACCCAGACTCAAAGCAACAATAATAATAATAAATTTTTTTCGAAGCATCCTCAATGTTACCCACAGGGAAATGGCTGAACACACTGTGACCCATACTATAAAATATCTAGCAGAAGTGAAAGAGTACAGTAATGATCATGGGAATGGACACTAAATACAAGAAAGTAACTTATAAAATAACACATTTAGGGGGCTGAAGAGATGGCTCAGCAGTTAAGAGCACTTGCAACTCTTGCAGAGGACCCATCATCCACATGGTGACTCACAACTATTTGTACCTCCAGTCCCAGGGAATCTGACCTCCATAGGTACTCCATGTATGTAGTACACATACATATGCCCATGATACACAGCAATTAAATGTATAAAATATTATTAAAAATATGTTAAAATAAATAACATGTACAGTATTATCCCATCATCAATGTGATTAAGAAGAATCATATCTATTTAACCATCTAATAGATATTTATCAATGTGCCAAGCACTGATCTAGACTCTGAGGACATAGGGACCAGCAAAGTAGACAAGGTTCTGTTTCCAGAGAGCCTGTGTGGGGAAGGGGGAGAAATAATACATTTAAGTTATTTTTAAATGTAACAATTTATTTTCAATAAAATGTTTTTAAACAAAACAAGGTAACAATGAGAGTAGAGAAGATAATAAAACAAATCTGGAAGTTATAAACCCAATCTCCAGGCCAAATAGGGCCCCTTTGGCCCCTTCCCACAGAATTGTGATGGTAGCCCTCCCTGTCTGCACTTCCTACCTCACTTCAGGAAGGGGCTTTCTGCAAGAAACTGTTTGTGTGTAGCTTTGTTGTTACTCGTTTTCATTTTGTTTTTATAAGACAAGGTTGTGCTATGTAGCCCAGACTGACCTTGAACCCAGCAATCTTCCTGCTTCAGCTTCTGGAGTATTGGGATTACAGGTGCATGCCACCACACCTCGCTTTAGTGTGCTAGATTCTTCCTGCTTTGATCCAGAAATATAATGCTGGCACTATAAAAGTTCCTTGTGAAAAATTCACTCTTGAGTTCACTGTGGAAATTTAAATAGTTAAGGAAAAGTCTTTCTAAAAGCAGTTCCTGGGTGGTGGCGGCAGCAGCAGCAGCAGCAGCAACTTACGCCTTTGCCTTTAATCCCAGCATTCAGGAGACAGAGACAGGTGGATCTCAGGGTTAGAGACCAGCCTGCTCTACAGAGTGAGTTCAAGGCAGCCAAGCCTACTCAGAGAAACCCTGTTTTGGGAAAAAGAAGAAGAAGAAGAAAAAAAAAAAAAGAAAGGAAAAATTTAGCATATTGGAGACCCCTGCCCATCTAATTTTATTGCAGCACTATTCAGCCCAACTGGCCATCCACAGATGAACAGAGAAAAGGTAATGCATATCCACAATGGAGTTTTGTGTAGCCAGAAAGAAGAACCAACTTACAAAATTTTCGAGAAAATGGGTGAAAACCGAAATCATTGTATTAATTGAAATAATCCAAATTCAGAATACAAATACTACAAGTTTGCCTCATCTCTGAACATACATTATATAGATATATGAAAGCATGTGTGCATACATTAGTGTATATAGGAGTAAAAGTAGAAGCAAGGCTGAGGGGACAAATGAAAATAATTAAAGGTGGCGAAATGAAAAGGAAGGAGAAATTGTTCAATACATGTGTATGAAAATGTGTTTGTGTGTCTATGTCTATGTGTGTATTCAGGTGTGAGATGGACAGAGGTCCATGGCAGGTATCTTCACTGTTGCTTTCCACCTTTTTCTTTTTCTTTTTCTTTTTCTTTTTTTTTTTCCAGATAGAATCTCACAGTGAAACTGGAGCTCATGGATTGGTTGATGAGCAAACTGCAGGGATCCTCCTGTCTCCACCTCTTGGCACCAGGATAACAGTCCCACACAGGATTACACACACACACACACACACACACACACACACACACAGCACTTTACTGAGATTCATTTCCCCAGACTCAAAAAAAAAAAAAAAAATGAACCCATCACCATGTAGGGCAGCTATATGACAATAAAAATAAAAATCATCAAACTAGAGCTGGGTGGCACACTTGAGAGGCAGATTCAGGAAGATCTCTGCGAATTTGAGGACAGCCTTGTCTATATAACAAATTCCAGGAACCCCAAGGCTACACAAAGAGACCCTGAGTCAGACAAGCAAATATATGTATTTACAAAATTTTACACACACACCAAAAACAGAAAAAGGAGACAATGCATACATCACCACACAGCAAAATTTATTACAAATAAAAAATAACTGAAGTGGTATGACTCTGAGAAAAAGAACCTTGAAGTGGAGCCACATGCCCTCAGGTATCCCAAATGTTCTACAAAGATGGCCTTTCAGATTAGTTGGGGGAAAGATAGGCCTCTTAAAGACATGGGCCTTGGACAGTTAGCTCATAGTTGGCATTGCATACAGTACCAAATTAACACTTAAGTGTAAAAAATAGAGCTTCAAAAATCAAGGAAACACACACACACCATTCAGAGCAAAGTGATGAGTAATTAGAGTACATCTGGGCAAATGCTCTGCAGGGAGTGAGTGAGAGAGTTAAACATAGACCCAGAGAAGGAACTCATAACCTGTAGGGCAATCTCAGAGTCAGAACACAACCAACTGCTCAAGGCAAAGGCCAAAGCTGGCCAGCATGGTGGAAAACTGAACAAATTATCCAGAGAAGAGGAAATGCAAGTGGCTAATTCCAATGAAAAGTGTCTGGTGGAGACATAGCTCAGTGAGGGAGCAGTGGCTGCTCTTTCAGAGGACAGGGGTTTGAGTCTCAGAACCACATGGCAACTAACAGCTGTCTATGACACTGATTGGCTCCAGGTTATCTGATGCCCTCTTCTGACTTCCATAGAGGTCGCACATACATGTGGTACACAGACACATATGCAGAAACACAAGTAAAAATAAGCAAATCTTTAAAAATAAAGGAAAATGGAACATGCTGAGACTCACAGTAAATTAGAGAAGGGACCAGGAACAGCTTGAGTTGGGATTTTTGAAACAATGTATTTCTCAGACTAGGAAAACTGCTGGCCAGAGTCAGAGTAATTTAGGTTCTCTGAAGCTGCTAATAGAAACACAAATGGATACAATATGAAAAGTACTGGAGTGGGGGCACTACAGCAGCCCTATTCACAATAGCCAAGATATGGGATTTTCTGAGGTGTCCATCAACAGATGAGCAGATAAAGAGAATGTGGTAACACAATGGAGTTTTATTCAGCCATAAAGAAGAATTAAACCAGGGGCTGGTGAGAGCTCAGTGGGTTAAGACATTTGCCAGAGTCTGATGACCTGGTTTCCATCTCATGGATCCACATAGTGGAAGGAGAGGGCAGATTCACAGAAAGTTGTCTTTTGACCTGCATACAAGTGCTGTGTCTTACCACTCATGCATACAGAGATTTAAAAATGGATTTTTTTAAACTAAAGAAATCATTTGTGGGAGAATAGATGCAACTGGAGATTATTGTATTAATTTAAATTAAATGAAATAAGGCCAAATCAAAAAGATTAAAAAAAAGTGCTCTCTCACACATTTGGGTCCTAGAATTGTTCAGAGACACCAAAAATCATGTGTGTATGTGTATCACACTCACAATATAAAAGCAGAAGAGAAACAGAAGGAAATAGGGTGGTGGGGGAGGGAAAGAAGAGGGAACTGGCTGTGTACTGGAGAGCCATGTCTGTGTGAAACCAATACAATCAACAAACAAACAACAATAAATATGAGGGCCCTCCCAGAACCCTTGGACAGCTTTCTTTCCTAAAGAAATACCGCCAAAATGTAATTTCACTAAAAACAAACAAACAAAGAACAAAAACCATGTTGAAAACTTGGTAATAGGAGAATGGCTGATGAAATCAGTGTGCCTTTGGCAACTCTGGAGATATTAGTAAGAATGAGGAGTGTCTTTATTATTAATCTGGGTGGACATTCACCAGATACTGTCAATAGCAAGTATGTGTGAGGTTGTGTATGTATGTGTGTGCATGTATATGTATGTATGTATGAATATATGTGTGTATGTATATGTGTATGTGTTTATGAATTATGTGTGCATGTGTATGTATGTGTGTATGCATGTATCTATGTGTATGTATGTATATGTATGTATGTGTGTATGTATGTGTGTTTATATGCACTTATTTGTAGCGTAAACTCCTATACACATAATAGCAAGTGTGGCAGGGAAACCAACTCCCTTTCTGTTCTCTCTGGGGACTAGAAGTTGATCAGAGAAGGAAAATTTCTCCAACCATCCTTTGTATAATTTTTAGAAGTATTTAGTTTGCGTTGAAGACAAAATAATTTTCCTCCAGTACTAAGGATGGCACCAAGCACCTTCAGCAAACAGGACAAGGCTGTCCTCCCAACTTCCCTACCCCACCTATCAGACAACTCATAAGATGTGTTTTTGTGTGTATATTCAAGGATTCAAGCAAGTGCAGATCAATGTTTAGTTAAGAATTTCTTAAACAATGCAGTTTAACAACTATTAACATAGCATTTGCATTGCATTGTTACTGGTAAGGAAAAACACTGGAGGATGTGTATAGGCAATGAGTGTGCCCAGCACCCTTTTCTTGTCCCTTCCTTCCTTCCTTCCTTCCTTCCATCCTTCTGTCCATCTGTCCGTCCGTTAATATGGAAAGCTTCACACACTTGTGTGTTATCATCACATAGGAATCATGCTAATTTTCTCTGTATTGTTCCAATTTTTGTATGTGTGCCACTGAAGCAACACCCAGCACCATTTTGTGTAAGTGACTTGAGTGTTTTCATGGGTTTGTGTGGAATGGATTCATCCTTCCACAAATTCATCATTTCTACATTCCAATTCTCCCTTCCCCCATTTCTAATCAGGAACTAAAATTTAGAATCCCCCCAATGAGACATCTATTAGATGTTATGACATTTTCAATTTCAATTCGAGAGAAAAAGAAAACAAAAAAACCTCAGAATGAATTTTTAAAAAAGAATAAGACCTGAGGGATGTCTGCAAGCTACAAAAGAGGGTTTGTTGTTTCCTTGGTGTATAAATAGCCCTTTCAGGGCTGAAGAAATGGCTCAGCCATAGGGAGCACTATCATTCTAGCAAAGGCCTCAGGTCCCACAAGGAGCACCCACATGATGGCTCACAAGCATCCATTGCAACACATAAGGTACACATACATGCAAGCAGGCAAAACACTAATACACACAAAATAAGTAAACACTAAATTTTAAAAAGAGCTCTTTCAAACTCAAGGTGACCGAAGCCAACTCAACACATGAGTAATTAAGTGCACAGCAGAGAAAATTAAATGCAGAATAAATAGGAACAGTTTAACACCACTAGCAATTGGAAAAAATGAGGGTTGGGTTTTTTACTTGGAAAGATTTTACTTTAAAAGCATGGCCTCTGTTGGAAGAAACATTGAAATGGCACATGTATTTTTACTTGCTGGGAATGTGAGCTAGCATGTTTTGGCATGAAATATATAAATACCTATAATGGCTTTGCTGTATCTTTTTATTTTTTTTTTCCAATTTTCCCTGTGTAGCCCTGGCTGTCCTGGAACTCAATCTGTGGACCAGGCTGGCCTCAAACTCACAGAGATCCAACTTCCTCTATCACCCATGTGTTGGGATTAAAGGTGTGCACCACCACTGCCTGGCATGTTTTTAAATTTTTGCTTTTAAAATTTTATCTTGTTATTGTAACCATACCATGCATATGTGGAACAATTTCAATTATTATAGATACTTTGTTATGATAAATTTGAAACATATACAGAATTAAATAGAAAATGACTGTTCACTGTCTCTGGGTGTTCACTATTGTCATCTTGGAAACAGTTCTATTTCTTTGGTATGGCCATACTTTGTAGCAAAATATCATGTTACTTCACCCATAAAAGACCCCTCTAAGAAACTTAACTAGAGTACTACTACTGCAATAAAAATTAACAATACTCCAGCACTCATGAGGCTGAGGTAGAAGAATTACTGCAAGTTCATGACCAGACACCATTTTAAAACAAAGCAAAACAAAATGACAACAAAAACAACAAAAAGCAACAATTCCCACAAATAACATACATACACACACACAGAGAGAGAGAGAGAGAGAGAGAGAGAGAGAGAGAATATTAAAAAAAAAACCCAACATACTCTAAATCAATGACCCAAACCAACCAACCAACAAACAAACAAACAAAATAGCTCTAGGAGCTAGGGAAATAGTTTAAAGGTAGGTGGCTTGCCCAGCACCCGAGGTGCAGAAGGGATATGGAAAAAAGTAACTGTCAGGCATTCTTGGTAGCAATGTAAATTGCCACCATCAAGGACAATTAAACAAAGACACCCTTTGACCCAGTAACCCACTTTGAGGAACCCTCGCAGATATACCCACCAAATGAAAAGAACCAACCAACAAACAAACACACCCACACCCACCCACACACACACACACACAATAAAAAAAAAAAAAAAACCTCATTTATTTACTGCAGTACATATACAAAAGCAACAGAAAATAGTTCACTGGCATCCATAGGGTACCAGCTGTGTGACAAAGGACCATACAAAGAAACACCATATATCTGTTAAATACAAGCAAGGATTCTTAATATCGAAAATGCAGTGGAAGAAAATACATAGTTGTACAGATGTGAAAAACATTCAAATGGCCAAAAAGAGTGGATTACAAGGCAATAAAAAAGGCTGCCTTCCAGCCACTTGAAGGCTAAGCTATGAGGCACTGCTAAGAAGGGGTTTTTTGCCTTAGCCTTTAAAAAGGGGAATGATGGAGATTTAGGGCGCCTCCATTCTTGAGTGAACACACACACACACACACAAAAAAAAAAATTAAAAGGGGGTATTATGAAGGGAATTTTGGTGAATTCCCTACTTGACAATTAAGTGAAATATTTTAAAAATCAAGCAAGCCTTTCAAATCAGCAGTTTTGCTGCTAGGAATTTATTTCACTGAAACATTTTTAAAAACCTGCAGAAAGCCTGGGCCCTTTGGGAGTTCATTTCACTGTATTTATACTAAATTAAACCAAGTATAAGTCCTTCTGGGGCTACACAATTAGCTTACTGAACCAGCAAAGGACACAGGACTGGTGGGACTGAATGCCCACTGCAGGTTAAGATTTTTGTTTGTTTTGTTTTATGTGGGTTTCAAAATAGCATAAGAAAATCACCTAGAAGGGCACAAGGGGAAGGGAAGTGGCTTCTGGCAGCCTTAGCTGCCTCTGGTTTTGTTTTCCGATGAAGCTTGTATTCTGGAATTAAAACCCTCCATAGGCTAGTCCTCTAGTCGGATGAGGTTGAATGTAGCTAACCTAAGCTGGGCCTTGAGGTGTGGGATATTCCCAAACCACGCATGAGGTTAAACTGCCAGTGAGAGAACAGTTTCATTTTTTTTCTAAGCCTGTGTGTTGGCGGAGTGCAGATTTACATAGCTAGTTCTTGTTAGAGTTGTTGCTTTTTTGGTTTGTTTTAATTTTCCATTTGGTTTTTGATAAAACTCAGAGACTGACCTTGAACCTGAGGCAACCTTCCTGTCTCTGTCTACTAGAATGTGCTGGCATTACCAACTCTTGGCCACCATTCAGGCCAATCAATTTAGGCTAGTTTTGCTCATCCACTGTAGCCCTGCACTTCCCATGACCTTGCAAGAGATTTGTGATGCCTTTCCAGCCCTATGATCAGAACACACACACACACACACACACACACACACACACACACGGGGGAGGGGGGCGCAAGAAAAGAAATTAAGGTTGTTTGGCCTTAGTTTTTAGCAATTCCCAAAATTAGGAATTTTAAAAGGTTACATTGACCTTATACTTAACAGTTATAGTGTGTGCTCCTGTCCACATGAATGTGTAACGCCAAAATAGGAATTTCAGAAGATCTGATGGGGAGTGATCACTAGTCACCTTAGGCTTAGGAGATAGGTAATAGTAACAAATGTTCTTTCGTTTATTTTGGCAAATATTCGAGTGCCTGCTGTGTGCTTGATAAAGGAAAGGTGACTAGGCTCAGCAGACAAGGTGTATACCTTTCCAGAGGCATAGATGGACTGAAGAATCCAGCTCCCTGCTCTCCTGACACCTCCCCTTCTTCAAGGAGCCCAGTGTGTGGGGGTGGGTGGGGGAGGGCAGTTTGGCAGCAAATCTCCAGGTTGAGAGCCCCCCAGGCTTCAACCATTCGGGTACACAGGAATGCACACTGGTGTCTGTGTACTAAGTCAAGAAGAAAGGAGGGCATAGATCTGAGAGCAAACTGTAGAGGACGCTGCCTCTACAGGCTGACACCCAGCTTCAGGTTACACAAGGAAAACTAAGACTTAATTGCGTCCACTCTAGGCCTTTGAGGCCAGATTCCCGCTAGTCGCTGCACCTTCTCCGCAGTGTCTAGGCCGATGAAAAACTCAGGCATCTGCAGGTGATCGAAGAACCCTAACCGCCCTTTGGCCGGTTCTTCGGGATGCAAGACTGGACAAGCCCAGGCTCCGAGGCTACCCTGGGTCTCCGGGGGAGGGCTTGCATCCCTCTGCGCCTTTCTTAGATCGGCTCAACCTGCGGTGCAGGACAGGGGCTTACATGGCCTCCGGATGCCCCGAGAACCAGGGCAATTTCTCTCATATTAAACAATAAGGAAAGAGGTGGGGCTTCTCCTGTCGCCCTCGATTAAAACGGAATGGAAGAATCATTTCCGACCGGGAGAGAAACAGGAGGCAGAGGCAGTTGAGTAATGGCTTCTAGGCCTAACTATGTGATGCGCAAATGCCTTTTTTTGCGGATGGTGCTGGAATCTTGAAGATAAGTTTGGAATAGAGACTGCCCTGAGCTTTTGGATTTCTCCCAGCCCCTGCGATCCTCACTCCCTGCTCCAGCTTTCAAGGATTTGTCCTCTGTGGGCCCTCATTGGGTCCTGTGGATGTGGGGGATCCACTGTGACTATACAATGGAAGAGAGCTTAAGAGGGCAAAGCCATGTAACTTGTCCCCATCGTTCCCTGAAAACAAGGTTTGGTGGAAGAGCAGCAACAAGGCCGCATTCTGAGGCTTTCTCGTGGGGAGGATGGTTAGTCCATAGAGGTGAAACTACAGAACCAAATGACCTCCGCACGGACCAGCAGTTTTTCTGATAACAAAGTAATGGGGGAAATGTAGAATGAAACAACCACTGAAAAAAAAATTAAGTATTCTTCACAAACACAAAACAAACAAACAAACAAACAAGACCCTCCAAATTCCCAAAGTGCAGTTTTCTGAATGAGTCTTCTACAGCTCTCAACATCTGCTTCTGCAGGCATGCTTGGCCAAGTTTCCGAATGTATCCACAGACTAAGATATGGAAAGCCACCCCACCACCACCACCCTTTCCCAGAGGCCCAGGATTGGGGCCAGGCCCAGCTCTCTGAAGTTAAAAGCTTTGCAGCTCAATACCTGCTAAGCAAGGCCAGGCCTGTAGCCTAGAGGTCTCCCCAGGCTCAGGGACTGATGGATCCCAGCCTTCGAAGCTGGAGGAGACCTGCAGTTAGCTTTTTGAAGCCACTGTCCCTTGGGAGGCTTTCAGGGTGCCGCTGTAGAAGGCTGGCCAGTCCCAAGCAGCCATTGTGCTGGGTGCTCAGACCTGACAAGCTGCAGGTTTTGAAGGGCCAGATTGTGCTCAAATCGTTTCAAGACATTTCAAGCCAAAGACCCAGTTTTTTTTTGGGGGGGGGATGAGGGGGTGGGTGCTGGACTCCCAAGCACCGGGTACATTTGTCCAACTTACTCTCCAGGGTTTTTCAGCTGGGTGAATGGCTAGCTGGGAAGATGACCCAGTGTATCACTCCTCTGGAGGATTTGCCATGTTCAGAAATGGTTCTTGCAAAGGCTGGGGAATGGTGGGGGAGTCTTGGCTAATGTTTAGAGATCTGCAGAGGAGGCAAGCAGGCTCCAAGAGGCACCTCTGATAAAGCAGATTAGTGGGGCCTCCTGGCATTGACTATTAAACAGTAGAACATTCTCAGATCTATCAAGAACATTCTCAGATCTATCAAGATCAGTTGGATTCTCACCTGGATTGAAAAGGAAAGCACCATGGGTCTGAGCCAAAGGTGGTGGGAGGGTTGGATTACCAATTGCAGATATTTGTGAATTATACTGCCTCTTCTGCCTGTGTCAGTCCCTCTTCACTGAAAGAGTCAGCACAGAGTTGGCCAACTGCAAGGTGAGATTAGAATTTGGAGGTCCCATTCCTTCCAGTAGCCTCCTGCCCCCATTGGCGAGCCCTTCCAAGATAAAACAAAAGGTTCTTTCCACACTACCCCTCCTTAGCCAAAGGCCCAGCACAAGGAATGTCTAGGGGCCTTAGAGATTGTGGAGTCCTGGAGTAAGCCTCCCTTTATAGAAGTCTGTGGTATGTCTGGTCTGTCATCTTGGTGGTACAGTACTTATGGCAGCCGCTGGAGAGAATGCCTCCATTTTGAAGGCAGGGTGAGCAGAACAGGGGCCCTCCTGGGAGGAAATTTCCTCCTCGGAGGAAATCTGAGACATTAGCCAAGCAGGGTTACCCAGAGGACACCAGAGGACAGAGGAAAATCTCACTGCTTTTTTTCAGTGTGGTCTGATTTACCTTTATCAGTTGCTGTTTACCTCTAAATTGCAACTGATAATAGCAACTCAGTCCCTGGGTCCAGTCCATTGTGTGTGTGTGTGTGTGTGTGTGTGTGTGTGTGTGTGTGTGTGTGTGTTAACAGTGGCTTCTGACTACCAAATTGTGTCACCCCATCCATTAGACAGGTTTTGTAGGTCACCCCAGGGCTACCCACTCCTCTGTCAACAAATATTCCCAGAGACTCTGCAGAGTGCTTTCTGTGCTCCTGGCAACAAGCTTAGCAAGCTTCCTGGAGATAAAATCACCAAGGTTGGAGGGCAGCAAGGCCAGAGGTAAGACACTGATGCTGCTTACCTCTGGTCCTAGCTGTTCTTGGACTTTCTAGTGCTAATGATCACTCTCGTGGGAGGGAGGGTGAAAGATATGGGGAGAGTGGGAGGATTTCTTCTGAGGGCCCGATCCTCATAGCAGCCAGGGCAGATAATCCTCCTCCTTGCACCTTTTAATGGCTCCCTTGAAAGATATGAAGTGGGTATGTCTTCAGAGAACCAGAGGACAAGGTAAAATGTGCTTAGGGCTTATGGGAGGGTTGTTTATTTTGGGCAATGAAGGCTCCCCTTCTCCAGTGTTAGGCTGGCTTCATTTATGGAAGCCTCCACCCTTAGCTGCGGTGGGGCTTCAAGTAATTGAGCAGTGACTGACACTAGTGACCTTGACTAGGAGGGATTAGTAGTAAATGACAACCTGGGCATTTCAGGCCTGTAATAACATCCTTGTCATTAAATGGGGGAGGGGCAGAGGGATTTGTGAGGGCTGAATTTGCTTTCCATTTCTGTTAGGTGGATAACTGTACTTCACATTTAATATTTCCATTATACTTTACAAAGTAAGAGAATTGACTTGTGAGAGGACAGCACAGATGTACCCGGGCAACTCCACATATGTATCTTTCTGCCTGGCTTAAGTAGCTCTACCTCAGAGTAGAGTCACTTTTTACTCCCACCTCTAAGAGTCTGTACCAGAGAAAATCCCATTGATGCCCATGAATAAGATGTATTTGTTCTACATAAAGGCAGGTAGAATGGAGGCAGATGGTGTCTGGGCTCAAAACTTGGTCATCTTATGAAGAGGAAAGATTTGTTTTTAGATTGCTGTGATGCAAGGACTGGAGACCTTACCCTAGGAGCTAGGAACATTAGACTGATTTCATCTCTGGCAGCCTTGCAGATTTCTTCAGTGAAACTCAACTGGTGGCTCACTTACTTCTTGCATTCTGAACCTCTCAGTTGATAGAATAGAATTTCACCCCAAATAATCAACAAGTCCTCATATCCTAGTGGTGCAACTGCCTTAACTCCATTCAGGTCCCTAGAGTGGCAGTGGTCATCCAATCTTCTAGTGACCACACCTATTCTCAGGAGTGTTTCTTTATAAAGGTTCCCTTCCTGCATCTGGATTCAAGACAACTTTCTATACCTTCAGACAGACTGTCTCCATGCCCTGCCTTAGCTGGGTTTCAGATTCCCAGGACTGCTCACATTCAGGGATTCAAGGAAGTTGTACTCCACCTGCTCCAAGGTATTTGAGACTTGGTTGAGAGAAACCTAGGTTCTCCTAGGCAGGAGAGGAAATTGGCTATGGTGGATGGCCTCCTGAGGCCTTCAGGTTCCAGAATGGGTACATGGGATAAGGAGGCTTGGATAGGGCAGTGAGGGGAAGCCAAGCAAGCCAATCCCAGAAACCCCCCCCCCAGTGATGGCCCCAGACAACAGGCTTCATATCCAGCTGAGGGTAGGACCCAAGACTTCTCTCTACCTTGGAGAGGCCCAGAGCCAGGAGGCTGACATTGGTGGCCTGGGTCTGGATGGGCCATGGCAGTGAATGCGAGCTTGCTGCTGGGAAAGGACTGGGAAACAGGGTGAGGTCCAGTGGACAAGTGGAGCAGGGGAAGAAAGTGTCAGCTAGGCTAGGCAGAGGGGCGCCCGGAGTCCAAGCAATGGGAACTGGGACTGGGGCAGCGGAGCTGTGCCGGGCCAACCTACCTCTGCCCCAAGCCCTCTCTGGACTTCAACCCCTGAAAGGCCCGGTGCTGGGAAACATAGGTGGGGTGAAGTGAGGGAGCTGCTGCAGGGCTGGCCTTCTTCAGCAGCTGCCCATCGGGGTCCCTCCCTATCCTGTCCCTGCGGAGTGCGCGCGTGACACTTTCTCCTCCCTTGCTCTGAGGCCGCTCCAAGAGGGCCCAGGCTCTCGGAGTCCTGCTTCCCCAACTGACTCGCATCCTTACTACAGCAACCAGCCAGGATGGGCCTAGAGAGAGAGGTCCAACCCAGGGAGGTAAACTGCCGGGGCAAGAAACAAGGACTCCTTCCAGCCCCTGCTTTGTCCCCTGCGTTCAGCACAATGCCCCACACACAATAGGCACTCGGAATATTTGTTGGATGTACTACCTAATGAAAGAACCAGTTTATGAACTGAGAGAGGTCAGAGGCCCCGGGAAGGGCAGTAATGGTGGCCCAAGGAACCAGAGCCACGGCCGGCGTCTTACCTCGTACCAGGATGCGGCGGCAGTGGTCCGTCTCACCGAGCGCCGGCTGTCCGTCGCTGTCTCCGCCGCTGTCTCTGGAGCCCACGGGGCTGGAGGCGGAGGTCGTAGCAACCTCCCTTGGACTCCTGCTACCCGTGTCAACACGCAAGTGTTCCGTTCCGCCGTGGTCTCCGTGGCGCCCGCTCCGGCCAACCGGCTCCTCCCGACGCTTGAGGCGGCGGTCCCGCTCCGCGCCCCCATCGCCCATGCCCGCCACCACTGCTGCCTGGGCCTCGGCGGTCGCTAGCCAAAGCTCTGGGTAGCAGGTCCTTCCTCGCCCCTCTCCGCCCCTTCCTCCTTCGGCCCCGCCCCCGTCGGCGATTGGGCACTAGCTAGGGTTCGGGGACTCTGGGTGGATCCCTTGGGCGCAACACAGCGGGAGATTATTGGGAAGGGGGAAAGAAAGAGGCTTAGGAGGAAGAGAGAAAGGAGAGAAAGGGAGGGAACGGTGTCTTCGCGCCTCCTCGGGTGAGACGTTGTTTAGAGATTGGCAGTGGGAAATTGGACCGCCAAGATGTTCAGAAGACCGCCCCATACCCTCTCCTAAACTTATTTCTCCCCACCAGTCCTCCTCGACGTCTCTCCTCTCTGTGCCTCGTATCTTCGGGGAATGCACCCAGTGCTCAGGCTGGCTCCGCTTGATGGACAACCCAGTGCGTGATGAAGGCGACCCTGGAGCGACTCAGTAGAAAGCAGGACCTTTGCTGGGATCCAGCCCCCCCCCCCCCCGGTGCGTTGGGGGGGGCGGCGCCTGGAGACTCGGGTGCAGGCCCGGAAATAACAGCGCCCGTGCTCCACAAACTCAGGTGAACAGAACATCACATCTTGCGGAACACCCACGGGTTTGACCTTATAAGCCCAGGAGGACGATTCACTCACTCTGGCCAAGGTGAGGTACCGAGTTGGACAGGCAGGCAGCCAACCAGGTCCTATGGCCAGGAGCGAACGCCGAACTCCGGGCTCTCCCCTAACTCTGAGGTTGTTCCTCCCTGGGCTGACACAACGAGAATGAGATGACAGAGCTCGGACTTTTTCTCGAACTTTGTGTCTTGGAGCAGTCCCTTACTCGGTGCTGCGAACAGAGCCCTGGGCGCGAGCCCGCTTTCAGGTTCGGCAGCATTCAGCTTCTTTACAGGTAGCATCAGGAGGTGTGGGGACTGGTTTTATTTTCTTGGGATCAGGTTTAAAGTGTCTTGGGGAAAGGTTGAGAGAGAAGGTGTTCACATGACTGAAGGTCATCTAAAGGCCAGGGACTCCCCCTTCCCCCAGTCCCTTCCCTTCTTCCATCTGTCCAGGTACAAGGGGTGAGCCAAATTCTTGGTGTGAGTTCATGCCAAGGTATTTCAGGAAGCCCCAAGATTTTGTTGAGGGTATCTGTGACACGTCTGAGGGTGAACAGGTTGTTTAAGTGTAGGAAGTCAGTCAGTGCCTTGGCCCATGTTCTGTGTGTGTGAAAATGGTTGCCGGTATCCCAGGTGTCCTTAGCCAAGGGGGAGGTTGGGAGAGATGCATCAGTGACTGAGTGACTCTCATGGATTCTTGTAAAGTGTTAGGAGAGGAGAGGAGAGGAGTAAAGAGAGAATGCCTGCTAGCCCATACTAGGAAAGAAAGGAAGGGGAGAAGCCTGGAAGGGTGGGAGAAGGAAGAAGACACTGCTAGAATATTTTGAGCCAGTAGGACTGCAAAGGATTAATGGCTCCCACAGTATGTGATTGAGCTTGCTGGGGGGGGGGGGGTATGGACTAATGGACTAACTTGAGGTGCCTGGAGTTCATAGGGTGATTGTGGAGAAGGAGAGAGAGAGAGAGAAAGGAAGAGAGAGAGAGAGAGAGAGAGAGAGAGAGAGAGAGAGAGAGAGAGAGAGAGAGAGAAGCATGCTCTTTGAATAGTTAAGGCGGGCTCTGCATCCCAGCTGATACCAGGGCAATGGCTCCTTGAGGTCAGCAGCCACACGGAGGTGTACTACCCCTCCCCCATTGGCCACCTTACTTGTGCCATCTGCACTTATCTCTGGCTCTTTCAATTTTAAAAATTATGTCTTACAGCTTGTGTAGAAAAACACAAACAAAAGAACAAGCTAGCGTCAGATAGACCTCACACTCTCAGCTCAGGCAGCTTCCCCTCCCACCTAGGAAGGCGTTTCTGTGTCAATAGAAGCGGAGTGGCACCTTCTGGACCCTTCTCGAGAGCTCTGTTTCTTTTCACGCTTTCACAGTCTTCATTTCACTAATGGCAGAAAGTGGTCTTACTCCAAGAGCCTCTTCTGGGGCCCATAAGCTGGGGTCATTCTTCCTGGAGAGGCAAGAGTTTTACAGAGTGCTTTGGAACAGGCATCTGGAGGTTCTGGTTCCCCTGGTGGTCTGCAGCACTCAGGTGATTGGTCCTTGGGTGCTATTGGTCTCTGGCCAGTGTATCCTCCCACTCAGGGAGAATGCATTCTTAGTGATGTCCAGGCAAAGGAGTTTGGATGCACTAGTGCTAGTGTATAGTCACTTGACCAGTGAGTGTCACAGCCCATAGTGGGTGAAGGGATGATGTTGGCCTCCTCTGAGTGTCTGACATGTCCTAGGAAGGGAGGACCTGTAGAGAGGTGTGGCTCTGAGAATCCATTCTGCTCTCAGGGTTAGCAGCATGGTGAATCTATGAGTTCTGCCTGATGAACATTCAAGAGTCCTGGGTTTTATTCCTACTGTACTCTCCTGGTCATCAGTGCTGCCTGCTGCCACATTCACACTCCAACCTGGCCACAACCCTGAGAATCTCTTCTCCTCTCCTCCCCTTCTTTTTCTTCCTTCCCCTCTTTCCGTCCCTTCCTCTTCAGGGTCTGAAGTAGCACAACCTTGCCTCAAACTCATAGTTATGCAGCTATGATCGACTTTTGATCCTTCTGCTTCCACTGGAATGCTGAAATAATAGGTGTGAGTCATCACACTGGGGTTATGCAGGGCTGGGGATCAAATTCAGAGCTTTTTACAAACAAGCAAACATTCTACTAAGTTATATCAGTTCCCCTCTGAAATATATTAAAGAACCTGAGTGAGTGGGCTGAAAGTACAACACAAAGATGGCAGAGGAGGACAAGAGGACATGCTGAAAGCCGCACTCAACCTGGTTTTTGCTTGCTGCTTCTCTCTTGCTGAGGGTGGGGATGGGTCTCCTCCATCCTCAAGCAGTATGTGCTGAGCTTGCCTGCTCACTCATTCCCAGCCTCTTGCTGCCTTGGGAATCCTCTCAAAGACCCCTGGGGAGGACCTGAGTAGCATTTTTGTGTTATTCCCCAGAGAATTCAGTGCTTAGATTTGTCACCATGGGAGTGTAGTGTTGGGGAAAACTGCTTGTAGACCCACACCTGGCTCAGAGAGCAAGCAGAGCTCACAGAAAGGGTCTACACGCCCCCCCCCACACTCTTTTCCAGCCTCCCACCTGGGAGCCAGACCTCTGTACTGACATGCTATAGGAGGACCCACTGTCCTGCCCATCCCATTCCCACAGGGAGAGGATGGCATCTGTGCAGAGTAACCATGCTAAAAGAGAAGGGGGCCTGGTGTGGCAGTGAGCTCTCTGGCAAGTCCCTCTTGTGTCTACCCTCCTCCTGAATTGAACCCTACAGGCTCATAGACACATTAACAGAAAGTTAAACGCGCTAGTGTTTGTCATGTGCAGTGACACACACCTTTAAAAAAAGAGTTAAATTTCTGTGCTTTGTGTGTCTGCACCATGTGCATGACTGGTGCCTGCAGAGATCAGAAGAGGTTGGATTCCCTGAGTTACAGATAGTTAACTCTAAAGTTATAGAGTTCTAACAACCATGTGGTGATGGAAGTTGAACCCAGGTCCTCTAATCCAGCAGAAAGTATTCTTAACCACTGAGCCATCTCCTCCAACTCCTACTGATACATTTTAGACAACACAAGATGATGAAGGTCTGTCTGGTCTGTGACCTGGGTTCTGCAAGGAGCAAGGACCCTTATGCTGTAGGACAAGGGGAATGGGCACAGAACATGAGAGGTCACTGCTGAGACTGAGGCAGAAACTGAAGATGAATAGTGCTACTGATCCCAGCTGACTATTACAGCCACTTTGTCACCACCAGTCTGCTTCCTAGAGCTCTGCTTTTGCTGGCCTTTGTCTACCACAGGGGAGGGGGACAGTTAGTTGGCTGAAGTGCTCTAGGCCACAGGGCAGGTAATTATCACTGTTGTTGGATTCTTCTCCCAGTACTCTGGGCTCCAAGACATGGCTCTGACCTGTCTAAGCTGTTTGTTGGGGATAACCAGGCTGTTTCTACCTACTTCACTGTGTACATTCAGCTTTTGCAGGACACCTAGTCAGGCTGCCAGAGTTCTAAAGTGAGCTAACACCCATTGCCCACATGCCAGGCTCTAGCAAGGAGCTTGCAAATTTCCAGAGCTGCTGAGTTCCTGGGCTTGACAGGAGACTACATTGGGAAGACTATGGATATACAAGAAAGACATACTGGAAGGGCACATGGTGGATGACATGTGAGTTGTGGTAACTGCCTTTAGCACCAAGGAAGCAGGTCAGGCAGCTCTGGCTTTGACACCAGGGTCAGAGCATTTTAAGGAAGGGGGCAAGGGGGAGAAAGGGCTCTTTAGTAGGGACCCACCCAGAGCACATAGAATAAAACTTCTGGGGCTCAGCTACAGATGGATCCTCACAAACATAAATAGACAACTTCCAGGTGATTCCCACCTGAGGGCCACAGGACTGGAACAAGAGTGGTAGTGGTGTGGGTGATGGTGGCAATTAATGAGATATAGCTCATATAGCTTATCCTTTTATGGTGTAGGTTGGGTGGATTTGAGGGCATCACAGATAAGTGCAGCCATCACCACCATAAATACCAAAGCATTTTCATGGGTTAGAGATGCAGCCCAGAATAGAATGCTTGTGTAGCAAACAGAAAGCACCAGGTTCAATTTCCAGACCCCCAAAACCAGGTGTGGTAGATTTGCCTGGAATCTCAATGCTTGGGAGATGAAGATGAGACAATCAAGAATTCAGTCATCATTGATTTCATGTAAGAGACCTTGAGGGGAAACTCACCCCTCATACTCTGCTCCCATTCCCTCTCAGCCCTAAGCTGTGTCAGTGGATTTGCCTGATTGGGGCGTTTCATCTGAGCCCCTGTGACTGGCTTCTTTCTCTCAGTGTGTTTCAAGGTCCATGCCTGTGTACCAAATACCA